AGGTATGACATTCATTAAAAACCTTTACCCCCCAAATGGTCATTTTTCATAAATTAAAAAAATATAAACAGGAAGTGGTGATAATATTAAGTATAGTTATGTAAAGAAGATATTACATATATTTCATTGTTTCTAATGTTTTCTTTCATTATGCTGAAGCAAAAATATTGGGATTGTATAATATGTATACAGATATATATGTGCTGTTGTAAGATGATGAAATTTCACTTCTTTTCTGCTCTTCCTCATATAGGACATGTTACAATTAGACCAACCCCAGAGTGAACTTGAAGAAAAAGCTAAGATATATGGCAAATCTGGAAGGAGCCTTACACCATATCAAGTGGCGGTTAATAATGCTGCCATTGTTTTAGCAAAGGAAAACCCTGATGTAGTATTTGATAAGGGTAGGTGTAATATTTGTATATATCACAGGCATGCATTTCTAAATATGAAACTCAAAACTTGTAGAGAGTACATTACTGTTTGTCTTGTAGTTGCATTATTGGTATAGTGGGATGGCAGTTTTTATCAACTGCAACATTTTTTCTTTCAAATATTATACAAGGAAGCTTATACTTACCCCCAAAGTTCACTTGGTCAGATAAATCAAAGTTGGCAAGTCCCAAATTAAATCTAGAGGGTTTTAGTGTATAGTGCTGGTATTACAATGGGTACTATTCCACACTAAGTTCTTTTTGTAAATGAGAAGGTCAAAACCATAATTTATAACCGGTGCTACCAATTTAAAAAATAGGGGCAAGTTTCCATTGTGCAGGAATGTGGGAATTATCTTATAGTCAAGTTTGGTGGTTTAACTTCCCTATTTAACCCTACAGGGAAGCTGCTTACAATGGCTAGGGATAAAGTTACCACCGATGGCTACCTATTTAAAAAAGGGCATTCAAGATCAAAACACATGTCAAGTGAATCTGACGAGCCTCCTTGTAAAAGAAAGAAAATTGACGCAGAAGAGAGGGCACGTGAAATAAAGCTGTTGCAAGATAATTTGGAGACATTAGACAGTCGCCTTCGCGTAAAGCAGCAGCTTTTGGATAACGCGCGCTCCCTTCAGAATTACAAGCAGTGTGATGAAATACTTGGAGAAACGATAAAAGTGAGGAAGGAAAAGGCAACTATCCAGAATCAATTGCTAGAGTTGCAAAAACGAGAGAATAAGTCTTCATGGTACCACAAGAAAAAGCAGAAAAAACAACACAAGGAAACTAATGTGAAACAAACAGAGGGGAATCAGAAGCTTCCTTTCCTTTTCAGACGTATGAGCAGCACGTCCAGCGAGAGTGATACTAGCATCATTTCCACCTCAGAATCTACTACAGAATGTGAAAGTACAAGCCCCAGGAAAGAGTCTGATGATGCTGGTGATTGTACTGCCGAAGAACCCGCTGGTATTAGTAAGCAGGATTTTCAGGAAACCCCTCCACATCAGCAAACAATGTGAGGGGGGTCAGAGAAGAACTTGTTGCTATTTATTATCGGGAACAAAAACGTGAGTTGTCGAAATGTGCGGCTGTTGGACAGGATATTTGTATTTCTGTATTTGAAGGGCTCTCTTTGGAGGAGTATGTTGATGTTCGTTCTTCAGTGTGCAGTACCACACACAAACAACCTTGTAAAAATTGTTGTGGTTTGCTTCAGGTTGCAAATGAAGTGCTACAGAAAGGTTTTTTGAAGTTAAGGTCAGCATTTGAAATGGCATATCCAGATGCAACTTACAAATCTTGGCATGCTCGAAGGAGGATGCTTCAAATGCCATTAGCAAGTCTAGGGATTGGAAATCGAAGCAGAGGTAGCTACTCCATCTTCTTAGTGGAAAAACAAGATCGAGTGAAGTATCCAATAATACAAACGCTCTTAAACCAGTGGATTAAATGTGAAACAGCGGAGCCATCGTTGCCGCTTATCAAAGAAACTATGAACAGTCTTCTTCAAATTGCAGAGTCTGATGCAGAGAGAAAACGCCTCAAGTATGCCGTTGTTAGGGCAACTGGTTTATCTAACACCAAGGCAAAAGAAAAGTATGGGTTAAGTGATATTGGCACCACTTTATCCCAAGTAGAGCAAACATTGGATGAAGTCTCAGCCATCTATGAAGCGATTGAGAAAATTGCTCAAGTAAAAGACAAAGTGTTGCTAAAATCACTAGGTGTTCCAATGGAGATGGAAGGTGAAAGTTCTGATGAAAGTGAAAGCGATGATGATGACGGCGCTGGTGCTGATGATGAAGATGGCCATGGGTGTGGCAATAATGATGGCGACAGTGATGGTGGGGGTAATGATGTTGATGGTGATTGTGGAGGTGGTGGTGAAGGTGATCATGCAATTTCCTCACAGGTTAGTAGTGGTGATGTTGAAAGTGCACAGAACCTGACCTGCACGCAGGTTGATGGTAGACATCAGTTCCAATTAACAGACGAACAATACAAGCATATCAGTGATACTGGCGAATGCTATATGAACACCCACCAACTCCTTGACATCCTTCGCAAGTGCAACTTAAACTGGTTGGAGTTCGTCTGTGCATTAGAGGTGTTGATGCCAAATGCTGCAGAACATGTTCTTGAACAAGTGCTACTCGACTTTGCAGGGCAATTGCCCTTCCTTGACCTCAGTGAACATGATGAGCGCATTATAGAACAGTCCCGGCAGGTATACCTTGAGGAGAAAAGGCGCCAAGAAATGGAGAGTGAAATCGCTGATGGTATGATAGTGTCAGATTCCGATTCTGATTGCGCTGAAGAGTGGCAACGTGTACGTGATCCTCTTGATGAAGCTGGACTGGATATTATCAAGAAAAAGAGGGCAGCGATCCGAAGAAAAGCAACAAGGGAAGTTAAAAAGCGTGTTGCAGAAAGGCGTTATTTAAGAAGAAGGAAAAGCAAGAAAGTTGGGAGAATACAAAGGGAACACCCTGACATTGGCGAAACAATTGAACAATACGTTCAAAAGTGTGGTGTGGGTGCCGATGCTTGGAGGCGAACCGGTGTGTTGACATTTGATGGCAACAAGTGTGTTGGGAGGAAAGTTACGTTTAAAAGAATTCAGGAACATCTGCAAGCCAAATACAAATCTTCTTTTAGTTATGGAAGTGTTGTGCAGTTGTGTGTTGCCCGGAATAAACGTCGCAAGTCTGCTGCTAGATACAAAGGGTTGGCACAAGTCGTACAGAGACGTGCTAGAAAGGGGTTCAAGCTAAAATACAATCCCGATGCTCATTGGAGTTCTGCATTGTATGCAGGCTTCGATAAGCTGCAGTACACTGATGGAAACAACATCATGAACCTGGGCCGTGATGATCAGGCTGGCTTCAGGTTAGATTCAATGACCACCCATAAGCAGCATGGAACTCTGTGTTTGAAGAATGAAGTCCCACTGACCACTCGAACAGACTATGTGAATCGATATCCCTCTGTCTTGCAGACAACATCGTACAATTTTCCTGCGACCGACACAACAGAAGAAATATGCGCTGGCTTTTGTTAAAGCCCAGCCGCTGCACTGCAAGAATCCTGCCCAGCACTTTGAAGACCTCCTGATGGTAGAAGACAAACCAGAAGTAAAGCCTGCGTTTCATAATCATCAAACAGGCAAATTGAAGGAAATTGAATGTGCCAGAGTTGATGGTGGAGCAGATGAGGGTCCCATACACAAGGAAGTGCAGTATTGGTGGACCAAGAGGCACCTACAGAAAGGACACAAGGCAACACTAATCTCAACCAGGAACAGTGGGGCGAGTTATCGAAACAGAGTCGAATTGCAGAATGGTTGCTTGGCGCTGGGTCATGCAAATCTCTTCATTCCATCAACTTTGTATGGATCCTGCCTTGAAAATGGCAAGGTCAACAGTGACATTCTCTGTAAAAATTTAAGTTCTGCTATCGATGTTTACTTGAGCCGAGTCAACCAAAGCCCATGTGCCGGAACGGCAATACACCTCTGGAAGGGTCCTGACAGCAAAGATACGCAAACTGAACAGCCTGCAGTGCTGACATATTTAAAGGGAAAGAAAAATGAAAAGGAGCAGTTAAGGAAGAGCCACCCAGATCTTTATAAGAGCATTCATGAAATCTGGACACTGAGGAATAGCCATATGGTACCAAATCTACCATCCCAGTATCTCTTCTACCTTAGATGCTGCTATAATCCTCAATGCATCCACCCAGTCTGCAAGACAACTCAGCTGGAAGACATACCATGGTTCCCTGGTGGCCCATCCATCCCTTTTCTGCCCATACCTACACCTGATCCTACCAGGCCGTTTGGAAATGATGCTTGCACTGAATGCAGTGGGTTTTGTGCTGGCCATTACATGAAACTGAACGAGCTTCTGGATTACGTTAACAGTGGCAACAATCTTCCAAAGGCGAAACCACCATCTGAGATTCTTCTAGAGGCTCACAAGAAATGGAAAGGGATCCCTGACAATTCTGCAGTACTAGCCATTGCAAAAGAAGCACTTCTTCCCCCAGAAGAAGTTCGTCTCTGGCTGAAGCATTTGGAGGATGTGGCATGCAATCGCAAGAGGGGGGCAAAGAAAGCAGCAGCCAAACGGCGAGAACGTCAAACCAATTTGAGACAGAGAACTGACGCGTCAAATGTTTGCCATACATGCAACAGTGAAGAGCCACCACTTGCAGAAGACGACAATGATGAAGATGATGAGCAAATGATTGATTGGGTAGCTTGTAATTCCTGCGCTCAGTGGCACCATATTGCCTGTGTGGAGATTGAGAGCATTTCAAAGTGGACTTGTACCTCCTGCAAATAATCTAATCAGTTGTATAACTCAACATGACAGACTTTTCGTTTCTGTTAGATTGAGAATATGACATCTGATTGTATCATTCTAGATTTGCGTAGCTCAACAAGGTCCATTCAGTTTTTGTATTAGATTGAGAAAATGATATCTGATTGTATCATTCTAGATTCGTGTAGCTCAACAAGGTCCATTCAGTTTTTGTATTAGATTGAGAAAATGATATCTGATTGTATCACTTGAAATGCTAGATTCGTATTTTCTACATGGTACATTCTTTTCCGTATTAGATTGAGAAAATATCTGATTGTATGACTTGAAATGCTAGATTTGTAAAGCTCAACATGGTATACAGCTCGCGTTGTTCCTGTAAGATTGAGACAATTATATTTGATTTTTTCACGTGAAATGCTAGATTTGTTGATTATTTTCCTCGGATTACACAAAGCATCAAAGGAGTTTAAAATATAAAAAAAAAGCTTGGCAATTTATATCAATTATTTGTAAAATGTACACAACAACTACTATGAACTTTAGGGATATTACTTCCCTAAGGTGGGGATATTTGATCTTATTTGACCCAGTTTTGGGGCCCCACGGTGGGGACTTTGACCAAAAAATCTTCTGAAAAGTCAAATGCCCCACATATGCCCGGGGTCCCCCCCCCTCGGGCTTAACATTGATAGGTGCATTACGAAGAGACAGATTTTCTATTGGAAAAAATTTGAGTGATACAACTTTGTTAGATTTAATTGTGAGATCACTTTCAGATTTTTATGTTGCAATCTATGGCGTACAGAAAATATGAACTTTTACTAACTTTCCTCTCAAGTAATGTTCTAAAATGTAGAGTTTTTGAATTTTAATAACTCATGCAATATTCACTTGCTTGCTAATCTACTTCTTTCTCAAATTTAAGTATTATAAAGGTGTTCTTTTGGTGTAAAAAAAATTTCAATTATTCTTATTTATTTTTTTTTACGATTTTTTTCCTGGTCATCATCAATATTTACGTTTTTTTACTTTTTTTCACATTTTCCTCATGACGTCATAGCCTTTTGTTGATATCTAAAAGTCGAAAGTTGCTATAGTTGTAAAGTCTTGTCGGTCACGTTCTTAAAGATATCATTTTTTATCACAAGACTAAAACTGAAATTTTTTACGAATTTTTAAATTTTGCCCATTTTGCCCATTTTGTGCCATTTGCTATGCACGGCCATGCACGGCCTCATTAGCAATTCAAAAACCAAAAATGAGGGCAGATTAGACCAGTATTTAGATCTAATTTTCTTGAAGGTTCCTTCTTGTGGAAAAAACCTTTTTCTATTTCTTAAAAATACTTTCTACATTCTATCTTACCTCTAATTTTCAGTTGTTTTCCTCTTAACGGAGAGATATGTGTCTAAACTTTACCATGGTTATGACACTACAATTTTTCTATGTAAAAATTCAACAGGCTATAATTGATGCAAGATTAAAGATATGCAGTTAGTAAATGAATGGAATAAACATCAATTCTTCAACTTAACTTCAGTGCATTTTGAGATCACTTCGTAACTCTGCATCCAAGATATAATTTTTTTAAAGATATTAATTTAAACTTCTAAAATATCAATCTATCCATATATCTGGTGTTTTTTGAAGACAAGGACATACATTTCGCTATAAATCAATAATCTTCATAACAGAGGTACATCGTAGGCCAGTTGATAATCAACATTGTTTTTCAGACCTTAACCGTCTCTATTTTTAATTCGTTTGAATTTGGAAACGTTTAAAGTGAGGGCAAATTAGACCTGTTTTTAACTACTTTTTCGTGACACATACACAACGTAAATACATCTCATGAAGTTGTACTTAACATGTTTGAAAAGATAATTCCCTAAGCTATTTAAAGAATTAAATTTATGTCGAATTGAATCAAACAAAGTAGACAAAACCTTTGCCTGGAACACTCCAATATGATAATCAAAAGTGAGGGCAAATTCGACGAAAAGAAAATGAGGGCAAATTCCACCCAAGGTGAGGGCAAATTCGACCAAAGTGAGGGCAAATTGAACTTAATTTACTTTTCATGACGCATACACTTAGTCACATTGAAAGTCTTCTTCAAGTGAGTACACGTTTTTTGGGGCTCTGCAAGTAGCCACTTTTTTCACCCTTTACAGGCAAGGTAGGAGCAAATCAACTATCACTTACGTTTTCTAAGGTTATCGGGATATTGCAGATGCTAATGTTTTACCACAAAACACTGTTGCTTGTGCGCAGTCTCCAATTATGTTAAGGGGGCTCTCAGGTGCATGTAAATCATGTAAGTTGCGTCTGTGGCAGTCTGTGGTTCCAATACTGCATTAGCTACATAGATGACAGTGCAAGGAATCGTTTGAAACCAGTTTTGAGACAATTGACTAATTTGGTAGTGAGTTATGACGTAATTAAGGGTAAAAATTCCCACGCTAATAACAGCCAACGATTTGTAATGGACCTTCAGAAAACCAGTGAGGGCGGTAGACCTCTTATAGACCTACATCAATGCAATATTTCGCTCTGAACGGTTTTAACCTTTAAGAGTTATTTAGGCTCAAAGTTTTTTCCAATATGGCGGTCGCAAGGAGCCAGTTTTAGTCCCCTACTCGGTAAATTGACGCCATGTCGAGGCTATACTTTGACTCTTTATAACTCTGAGAGGATTTAACCGTTTCCCTTCAGATTTGGTGACAAGGAAGTACGGGTTACTGTCCATCGAAAGCAGCAAGACCTGGGGGGGAACTACCACATAATTGCTGTTCCCCCCCCGGAATGTAATTGTAATTGAATTTCCTTCCAAACTAGTTCACTTCGATCAAACCTAATGGAACAACTGAAGAAATTAGCCACTCGAGGAATAGAATCGGACGTCGAGGCACTAGAACAGCTGGACTTGGGTTTGATAGATTACCCAGATTTAGAGAACATCACACAGGAGCAACTAAATCGATTGTATGGGCAAACAGCCATCATAAGATCAGCAGCCCAGACAGTTAACAGAATGACAACAGTGGATTGTGCCAAGAACCTGATGGAACTTCTGTATTATCTATCTCAGACAATCTTCAAGTCAACGGTGCAGTACACCATAACAGTTGACGAAGTTTTAAGAGAAATGTTGACGCAAGTGACATCCATTCGCGACTTCTGTCTGAAAGTCGGAGAGGAGAAAGAGACGAGTGTCCATGTCAAGGCACTTAACTGGCACATACAGAAGACACGTGATGCAATAGGGGGTGACCTTATGTCGGCGCACGACTTGGGCCTGAAAAAACTACCTTCCCTCAAGATCAGAGCAATAAAGCAAACCCCTTCAATGGAAACCCTCTTCAGGTCCTTTGGAAGTGCTGCTGAACTTGCCACCGCAGGATGATACATTGGAGATGAAAGCTTAAAAAAAGTGAACTGCTGCACAGTTGCGATATGCGAATTAATTCAGCAGCGATTGCACCCTCGATCCGAGCCCTTGAAAGTTAGGATTTTCGGGTCAGATGCCTGCGAATCTCTAGTGGCACTCATCCAGGAGATAGAACAGTCGGTAGCTAAAGTAAATGAGAAAATAATGAAGGAGGTGGTGGAAGAGTACAGCGACCGTGAGCGAGAGTTTGTAGAAGAAGAAAAGGACCCCAGCTACAGTCCAGAAGCAGAAGAACAAGAAGAGGAGGATGAGGATGAGGATGAGGATGTTGTGGCACCTTCGCCCCAAGCAGCCTCTACTGCTTCCAAAAAGAAATCCCAAAAATGTACCGACAGAGAGAAGAATGTAATGGCACTACCTACAGAAACAGCCCAGAGTGCCTCCACAAGGAAGAGGAAGGCCACATCAGCATGGGAAGATGAGCCCAACGAAAAAGCCGAAAGAGAAGCCACCACGCGAAAAGAATGTGCCCCGTATGCAAGAAGGAAGACACCAATCTAAAGAGGCATCTCATGAGCCATGCCAGAAAGGGTCACATAAAGGCAGAGTTGGTAGCTTCAATCCTGAGCATCACAATCAACAAAGGAAAAAGGCGAGGGCCTGCACGCTCAACATCAACAGGCAAGCAAGAGCGGAAAGGCTTGAAGTTGAAATAGTGCCCTGTAAAGGACTGCCAAAAGGTCACGCATCTACTAAGAAGTCACCTTTCCAAATTCCACAATACCAAAGCTGGCTTTTTAATGGAGAGGTATCTCTTTATGGCAAGGGAGCACAAAGGAAAGGCTGAGGTAAAGCAGATGAAAAAGGAAACGAGAGAAGGCAAATGGAAGCGCAGAGAACAACCAACTAAACCCTCAGTGACCCAACCAACTAAACCCTCAGTGACCATCACCTCCTCCACTTTAGACGAGGAAACCGCCCCAATGGAAATTACCGCTGGCCCAAGCACATCCCAAGCTGAAGAGCCTGAGCTAACTCCATCACCATCCCCCATCCTGATCCCAGCAGATGTACCTTCAGAAGAGGAAGACGGTGAAGAAGACGAGAGTCATTACCCCGATCGGAAAGAGTTCTTCAAAGATCCAAATCCTAGGAGCAACCGTCACCGCTGGCTTGTTCTTTTTTACCATCATTTGAACAAGCCAGACTGCGGGCGAAAGAAACAGAAGAATCGGCTCCAGCATGCGGAGCACGTGAGGAGAATTCTGGAGGATCTTCAATCCAGGGGTTCAGACATAGACATCCTCTAAGAGGACGAAGGCTATATCGTCTGGACCCACTGGGTTGACCCAAACGTGGAGAATCTCCGATCGGGTACTATCAGATCATACGTAGGATCATACCAGTTATTTCTCGACTTTGTCACCATGGAACGGGTGCGGAAAGGCATCGTCCCAGAGGTAGAAGCAGATGTCCTCCGAATCTTCCGGAACGTAAGTAGACGTTTGAAAGGCTGGAGGAAGACTGTGGACCTAGACACAAGACCCCAACGGACCGAGCGACTTCTGGACGAGAGCTTCAAGGGCCTTAAAAATGATGATGTCGATTCCTTTCTGCAGTCCAAGGCAATGCAAGACTGTAAGGAAGTGTTCACAAAAGCACAGGACGGTAGCGATATCACCACCCTTGAGATGTGCAAAGCGCGAGACTACTTGATATGTCTGACCACAATAAAAACTGGCATACCACCAGGGGTGCTAGAAACCGTCACTCTCAAACACTACAACACCATGAAGAGAGATGACGAAACTGACAAACCTGTGCTCCTTGTTCCCGACCATAAGAGAGGTGTAGCTGGGCCAGCACTCATTGGGTTGGACAGTGAAGTCGAAGAGTTATTCAAGATCTACGTACAAAAGATCCGTCCGAAGTTTGGTGACCGCTGTGCAAACCTGTTTGTGACAAGCGACGGACTTGCCTTCACCAAGGGGACCCTTTGCAAAAGACTACCAGAGCTTTGGAGTACATCGGGGGTGAGGTCTGACCTAAGGGTAACAGCGACGAATATCCGAAAATGGATTGTCACCACCTGCCACGAGAAGAAGACCAGAGGGGCGAAGTTTGATGAGGATATTGTAAGGCAAGGTCTTTGCCACTCAGACAAAACTGCCAAGTCCTTTTACCTTAGGTCAGACCTCACATCTGTGGCAGCACAAGCTGTAGAAATCATCGCAATGTGCACCTCCAAGAAGTCCGAAGAGACTCCTGTGAAGTCAGCCCCGACGCCTGTGGCAGAACAGTCTGCTAACATAACAACAGCTGAAACTTCTGACCAACCAACATCGATGAGGAGCCGTAGCCCGTGTGACCTGACACTATTGTGACGCCTGTGACGTCGGACGCTACATCTGTGTCAGTAGAGTCTGCTGACATTTCTGATGAGACTAGCCCAAGTGAAGGTCCGGACCATAACATGATACTTGTGCCGTCAGAAGTTTCATCTGTTTCAGCACAGCCTACTGCAATACCAGCAACTACTCCTAACCCTAAACCTTCTGCACAAGCTAACACGAAACCTAAAGAACAGAAAGGTCCACTAAATGACCAGGAAAAGTCTTCCAAGACATAAAATCCCATCAAAAAGTGACAGCGGAGGCAGTGAGAGGCATTTCTGACGAGACTAGCCCAAGTAAAGGTCTGGACCATAACATGATACCTGTGCCGTCAGAAGTTTCATCTGTTTCAGCACAGCCTGCTGCAATACCAGCAACTAATCCTAACCGTAAACCTTCTGCACAAACTAAGACTAGACCTAAACAACAGAAACGTGACATTGGACAAGTCTTCCAAGACATGATAAAATCCCATCAAAAAGTGACAGTGGAGGCAGTGAGAGGCATTTCTGACGAGACTAGCCCAAGTGAAGGTCCGGACCATAACATGATACCTGTGCCATCAGAAGTTTCATCTGTTTCAGTACAGCCTGCTGCAATACCAGCAACTAATCCTAACCGTAAACCTTCTGCACAAACTAAGACTAGACCTAAACAACAGAAACGTGACATTGGACAAGTCTTCCAAGACATGATAAAATCCCATCAAAAAGTGACAGTGGAGGCAGTGAGAGGCATTTCTGACGAGACTAGCCCAAGTGAAGGTCCGGACCATAACATGATACCTGTGCCGTCAGAAGTTTCATCTGTTTCAGCACAGCCTGCTGCAATACCAGCAACTAATCCTAACCGTAAACCTTCTGCACAAACTAAGACTAGACCTAAACAACAGAAACGTGACATTGGACAAGTCTTCCAAGACATAATAAAATCCCATCAAAAAGTGACAGTGGAGGCAGTGAGAGGCATTTCTGACGAGACTAGCTCAAGTGAAGGTCCGGACCATAACATGATACCTGTGCCGTCAGAAGTTTCATCTGTTTCAGCACAGCCTGCTGCAATACCAGCAACTAATCCTAACCCTAAACCTTCTACACAAACTAACACTAAACCTAAACAACAGAAACGTCCACTAAATGACCTGGAAAAGTCGGACATTGGATAAGTCTTCCAAGAAATGATAAAATCCCATGAAAAAGTGACAGTGGAGGCAGTGAGAGGCAAACTTAAAAACAGCACAAAGCTGCAACACCTCCTGACGATTGACGGAATGGATGTGAAAGTTGCGTCTATGCCAAACAAAATCCAAGTCCGAGGCAGGTGGTGAAAGTAAAAGTGAAAGTCGTCCAAAACGGATTCCTGCGACCTCAAAATATCGAGCTGTTCAGGCTGCAATCTCCCAAGTGAACAGCTCCGAAGTGGACGAGTACGATATTGAAAGTGAGGAGGTAGAAACTGGCACTAGACAAGAGTGGTCGGAAGAGGACGCAAAAAACATTCAAGAAAACTTAGAAAAAGAGAAAACATGTCCGAAAAAGATGGCAATAAAGTGGTTCTTCAACAAAAACGACAACCTGAAGGACATTCTTAGGCGAAACGGTCTCAAAAGATGTCAGGATAAGTTGAAGAACGAATGGAAGAAGTCGAAAAAGAAATAGGCTTAGGGTTAGTAGGACGCCCGAAACAAAAAAAACATAGCAAAAATAAAGAAAAAAATTAAAATACGAAAAACTAAGAAAAAAATTTGTTCCCTTGTCCCGGAAAATTTCTGTTGATCACCAGGCCTTTGTCATCGGGGCAAAGGACTTGCTGGTGGTCAAGTTGTTAAAAAGCTGGACGCCCAAAACAGAAGTCAGCGACCTGGTACACCATCATCATCAACATCATCATCACCATTCTTGCTCGTTAGTTTGGCAACAAAAACAATATAAAAAAAATTAAAAATTGAAAAAAATGGTTTTCATGTCCCGGAAAATTTCTCTTATGGATCACCCGGCCTTTGTCACTGGGGCAAGGGACTTGCTGGTGGTCGAACTGTTGTGTTGTGTTGTGTTGTGTTATATGTTAATAAAGTTGGCCTCCTGTAAACTCTCGTTGGGGATAAAACACGAGCTGAGGTAACCAACCCTTGGGGAGTGTCCCTAAGAGTATCAGGTGTGCAAGCAATGTAATGCGATCCTGGTTACATTGAGTCAAGGTGGTGCCTTGATGAGACCCTCTGAATGGCTTTTGGTAGCGCTTAGCACTATCAAGTCTCACTGGTAAACAACAACGTGGGGGGGGGGCAGGAAACCAGACAAGCATTCCTTTCCTCCAACCATGGTGAAGATGACCTTCCCACCTCTTAAGAACATCACCAAACATCATTTCCAGGTCCAATTTGACCATGGACAAACTTTAAAGAAATTTGAAGTTTTGACCGAAAATCATAGGTTAACCCCTTTGGAAAAAATCTAAGATGTCGGCTGATCAAACTTGACATCTTCATATATTGTCAGAATTGCTTAAATTTCACTCTAAAGCCTCAACATACATTATTTCTAGGTCCAAATTGACCATATACAAACTTTGAAGAAATTTGAAATTTTGACCCAAAATCATAGGCTAACCCCTTTGGAAAAAGTCCAAGATGGGGGCTCATCAAACTTGACATCTTCATAGATCGTCAGAATCACTTTAATTTCATTCTAAAACATCAACAAACATCATTTTCAAGTCCATTTTGACCCAAAATCATAGGCTAACCCCTTTAGAAAAAATCCAAGATGGCGGCCATCACAATTTGACATCTCCATATATGGTCTGGATGAGCTGGCTACTATCCAAAAACATCACCAGACATCATTTCCAAGTCCATTTTGACCGCAGACAAAGTTACAATTAATTTGAAATTTTGACCCAAAATCATAGGGTAACCCCTTTGGAAAAAATCCAAGATGGCGGCCAACACAATTTGACATTTCTAAATATGGTCTGGATGAGCTGGTTGCTACCCAAAAACATCACCAGACATCATTTCCAACTCCATTTTGACCACACACAAAGTTACAAGAAATTTGAAATTTTGACCCAAAATCATAGGCTAACCCCTTTGGAAAAAATCAAAGATGGCAGCTAATCAAATTTGATATGTCTAAATATGGTCAAGATTGCCTCATAAGCACTCTAACACAGCCCCAAACTTCATTTCCAGGTCCATTTTGACCATACACACACTTGGAAGCGATTTGAAAGAACCCGTGAGGGCAGATTGCACCTTTGTGAGGGCAAATTCGACCAAAGTGAGGGCAAGTTAGACCCTAATGTAGCAAAGTGAGGGCACATTAGCCTCCTAATTGAGGGCAAATTAGACCTAAACTAAAATAAATTTCAACTAAGATGAAACTTTAATGACCAAAAAAAAATTCAAAACCAAAGGAAAAAAACAAGTTCCAGTTCTCCCTGCACAAAGTCAAATGAACAACCATTTTAATATTTTCCATTGTTTACCATGGACATTTTTTGATGTTGATGTCAGCCTATTTTTATAATCTGAATAGCATTTCATGTTTATCCTCTTCTTGTATTACTCCAATAAAATCAGTTTCACCAAGATCCTTGAGCGCTTAACTAATGGCATTTCTTTTAACAAAAAGTTTTATAATTGACCAGTCGGTCAAATTTTGACTCTAGACATATAAATGCCAATGTGATTGGTTTGGCCACTAAAAAGATCTGACTGGTCAGCAATTCAGCACTTTACTATTTATGCTTCTCACCGCTGGTGAGCTTGAAGACCACTGGAATTCAGGCTACATCTTTAAATACTCATAGCAATCACCAGTAATTACTGCTATTCTGTTTCAGTTGAAGCACTTGAGGGTTATGTCCACTTGGTAAGTGGAGTTAAAACTGCTGCAAATAAAGTACAAACAACCGGAAGTGATAGGGTACGTATGGTATGCTACTCATCAGAAAAGCGACAGAAATTACAACAATCCCAGCAGTATAAATCACCTGTCAAAATCTCTGGCCTTGTTAAGAATAAATCAAAAGAGGTTCAACTCTCAAAGTGAAGAATACACCATATCAAAAAAAGCAAAAATCTCCACAGTGGATGTTCAATTCCAATATAATGATGCCCTTAACAACAGGCAGGCTTCACACAGTCAAACAAGCTTTGGATTTAAACATATATGAAACTGTTGATCTGAAAGTTAAAATAATGATCAACTCAGAAAACAAACAACCTATACTCCAAGGAGACAAAACAAAGTACAAAATGGGTTCAATAGTAGCAGATGACACTGGTACAGTAAAACTAGTTCTGTGGGAAGATACTATTGATAAACTCCATATTGGTAAATGCTATCAGATCCAAAATTGTAAAATCAGGGTCTTTGACAACTCCAAATTTCTCAACACTAATGAATTCACCAAAAAAACAGAAATTGATGAAATCCCTAACATCAACCTGGCGACACCTGAATTGCAAGACAACATTGTTACTGGTCAATGCCTTGGAGTTGACTTGAAATGCACCACCTCTTCCATTTGTTGCAATAAAACCATTGATGAAACAAATGATGAAGCCGACACAGTTACATATCCGAACTGCAACATGACACTCATCAAAGATGTTCTTCAAACTAAAGTTGTCGCTAAACTACTAATGAAAATTGATGAAAAGCTGGTCAATTATACAGCCTTTAATGATGCCATCCAAAGCTTCATGTCCAACATCAAATGTAAAACAAGCTTTATGGCCCGCCATGTGTTAAAAAAATTCCGAAATCTCGGAATGGTTCCGAAAATTTCCCAATGATTCCGAAAGTTAGGAATGGTTCCCAAAATTCGGGATGGTTTGGATTTGCGAAATAATTACGAAAATATCGTAATACTTTCGACTTTTGGAATATTTTCGGAAATCGTTCGTAATGCTGCCGAAACACTTGACGCTGAACATACAAAGTAGACTGGAAGCGACTATTTATAAGGAAACCATGGAGACACCATGGTTACAGAATCAACGTGCAACAGCGTGGGTCTGTTTGTCATAATCCCGATCCACGCTTCATGCTTTTCGTCATTAAATGCTGTATCAAAAAAATTAATGGAAATAAGCTTTGTTATCCTTTACACAGTTGTAATATTTTATGGTTATTGTCCTGTTTAGATGAAGTATCATCTTCAAATGTTTTTATTTCTTGTCTTGGCCTTTACTGTCTCAAGGTAAGTCGACTTTCTTCCAATCGAGTGAATCATACATTGCGGCAAATCAAGCTTCTACTGGAATATCTCAAATTTTCCTGCAAAGTTTTCATCTACTGATGCTTTTTTCTTTTTTCCCAGATCTACCGCAGATGATGACTTGGCCCAGTTTGTCCGTACTGTCATGTCTTTCTCATGTTGAGAGAGGTGGAAACGGAGATGGATAACATTGGCTTTGACCAATGGAGAGCAGAATTTTATGCAAATCGGGTGTTGTGTGCTCTGCGGCATATTACCGACATTGTGCAACACATGAACCGGAGTGGTGGATTTCCTCATACGGAGGTACAAGAACTTGAAACGTTGCAAGAAAATTTAAGGGCAATTTATGGTCTTATTGTTCAGCTGCCTGCAATGCACGGCTACTCGTACAGACTGCAGGTAGAGTCGTCGTCAGGCCCGGGGAGACCAAGGTATGTCATCCCTTCAGAACAGCTATCATGTTTGCGGAGAGAGTTCAACAGCTGGACACAGATTGTTGCCGACTTAGGGGTCTCTAGGCAAACTATTGATAACAGGAGAAGGGAGGTTGGATTTTCTCTTGTCTTTGAGGGATACAGTAATATTCCTGGCACTGACTTGGACAATCTTGTCAGAGATGAACTAAATGCTTTCCCGCAGACAGGCAAAACAAATGTTATGGCAGGCCTCAGACAGAGGGCCATCGATGTTCAAAGGTGGAGGGTGCGAGAGGCCATAGTAAGACTAGACCCGATCAACCATGCAAATAGATGGGGACAGAGAATAGTTAGGAGACCTTACAGTGTCCCTCATCCAAACTTCCTGTGGCACATGGACAGTAATTTAAAATTACGTCACTGGCAGATGTGCATCCATGGCTGCATTGACAGATTTTCGAGATGTATAATTTACCTCGATGTTCACAACAACAATAGAGCAAGTACTGTCCTCACCTTGTTTCAGCGGTCAACAAATGAATGGGGTGTCCCATCGCGAGTTCGAGCCGACAACGGAGGAGAAAATGTGGCTGTCAGAGATTTCATGGTCTGGTTTCAAGGTGAAAATCGCGGCAGTTTTTTGACAGGGCCTAGCATACGGAACACCAGAATAGAACGCCTTTGGAGAGATGTTGTGGAAAGTGTTGTGACCGTGTTTACATCTTTGTTTTTGTTTATGGAGGCTAGACACATTTTGGACCCTATGTGTGAACGTGATATGTTGGCCTTGCACTATGTCTTCCTTCCGAGACTGTTAGATTTACTCAATACTTCAACTTTCATTCTGTCTCAACTGAACGTAACTGAACACCCAGGCAACTGTGGACCTCCGGGTGCCTCAGAAATTTCAACTCCCCAAATGCTGGTATACGTGATGTTCTGGACACTGACAATTCCATACCTGAGGATATGGAGATGTATGGGCATGATCCTGATGCTCCACTGCCTGATCCTCAAGAAGATGAGGAGGGAGTGGTTATTGCAAACATAGACTTCGAACTATTAGAGGAGGCTAATGCTGCTTTAACACAGAACTTTACTCCCCTGATGGAAGACAACAACTATGGTACTGAAATATATTTACAAGTACGGGAATTCATTGCAAGAATCATTCAAGAGGAACAATAGAATACAAATGGTTTCTTGTCTCTTTTTTTGAGCTTAAATACTTTTTTTTGGTTATTGAAAGGTTAAAGTTCGCTTGTGATTTGCCCAAAAAACACTTATACTTTATACAAAACATTTCTTACAGTCTCTTTAAATTTTCTGTAATCACTACCCAGTGGCGGATCCAGACCTTCGGACAAGGGGGGGGGGGACGTTAATCCAGACCCAGAGATGGGGGAGGGCCAGCCTCGAAAAAATTCTTTTCGGCCCTTTGGGCCTCATTTTGGTCTTAAAATAAAGGGGGGCCGTGCCCCCTGGGCCCCTACCCTGGATCCGCCACTGCTACCTCTTTAATAGCCCAGGGACAGTACGATTTAAACAAGAAGGTAGGATGACCCTTCTGTTAAGGTCACCTTAACTCCAACGTGAAACATTTCATGCTGAACTAACTCGGTCATGTGTGACCAGCTTCCTTATAACATTCCAGATTGAGACTTGAAGAATCTAAAGATAACTTGATAAAGTGGACAAGAAAATAATGGTTTATAACTTCATTGTAAATACCAAATGCCTAGTACGTAACGTTCAGGCACCACTTGTTTAAAAGTTGGATAGCACTATCCACCGGAAAAATCACTATCCAACGCATGATTGTTAGGGAAACTAAATTGTGCTACCAGTGGATAGTGATTTATCCAGTGCATAGTATTATCCGCTTTTTGAACAACTGGGGCCAGATTTTTATCTTTTCCCAACTCGTTACGTTTTCTGGTAACACGTAATGTAGCCTGGAGCCAGTCATAAGGGACTTCCACGTAAGTGTTTCAAAAGGCATTATAAGGGCCATGCATCTATGCCCTGGAATAGTCCAAGCGTAACCCTTTGCTGTTTTCTTAGTGCATTAAGTATTGAATCAAAAAACGGAGAGTGGCATTGTCTTGGACTTCTTCCACACGAACTACTTCACTTAAGCAGAGGACATCATCCTTGAGGTTGATCAGTTCTTCTTTCCATGATTTTATTTTCTCTTTCCCTGATTTGGTTTTCCATGAAACCCTACAGAGAGAATATGCAATAACACTGTAAGTGTTTCATTCAAGATATGTACAGTCACATCCCATTAATAATTAGTGGGCCACAGAAAGTGTCTGTATTGATGGAAAACTTTCCACAATAACAAGGTGTTCATATAAGAGCTGTAACTATCACCCGTGGACATCCGGGAAAAAGGGGGCAGAACAAAAAAAATATAACATAATCACATAATCAAAAGTAGACACACTGAAGAAATAAATTAGGACAGATGGTGGAAGTTGGTCTGCCATATTATTCCTATGTGCAACTCAAGAATATATTGTTTTCCCTAGTGATATAAATAAATATGCAGTTTGATTAGTGACACTTGATAATGACTTAATGTCATTTTGCTTTTCTTAGAGGAGTAACTTACATTCCTAATGTTAACAGGGAGGTGATGCCCATTTCACTTCCTACAAAAATATGCAGGTCAAAGAAACCATTCGATCTCCTCACCCCACAAGTGGTCGTTACCAGCTTGCTTTGCACTGGTGGGCTGATAAAATCTCCATTTCCTGACTGCGTCAGATCCACCCTCCACTCAAACATTGCACTGTCCACTGATTCACATAAAGTCACTTTCTAAGAATATGAACATTGATAATAATTAAATTCATCTTTTTATCTTTCTTTCCTTTTTATATTTTTACACCTCTCGAGAAACAGTTCCAAGAGGAACTGAAGTATACAAATTTACACCCCACAACCCTACTGTTCCTGTCTATGGATATGGGTAGGTGTCCACATTTATCAAGTGGATATATAAAAGGTGACCATGCACAGCTTGATTATAGGACTGACTTAAGGCACGGGGGGATGGTTAGGCTTATCGCTGTCAATAACATCTATGAATGGTTCACGTCAAAACCTTGCTCTTTATTGTCTGAAGCAGTGTTGCCATCGTTGCATTGAGATGAGGAGCCTTATATTCCTCAAAGTGATTTCTGACTGTACCACCTTGCCTAAGGATTTCACCGCAGTTGAAAGGGCAGCAAAGGGCTCCTTCCTGCAATGCCAAGTTTCTTACAGGTAGCACAGCCCCCACAAAAGTACGGTCAACAGGGCAATTTCCATTGCCCTTGAACATGGCTGTTTCAAGGCATTTCTCACACATTGTGTGACCTTTGTTACACGCGACTGGATTTCGCATTACCGCAAGACTGAAAAAGAATGGGGTGACAAAATCATTTAATGCGTTTATACTAGAAACCAAATTTTCTCAGAGATTCTCCAAGCAACTCATCCCAACACAAGGCAACACACTTATGTTAACATGTCAATATGTTTGAAATAAGACACCCTGAGAGAGGAATGTGCATTCCGCAGTTTCTTTTCCCACATCATGAGCTTCATTTTGCTTTGTGTTTCTGACTTCAGATATCTTTGTCGACCTTAAATGGTAAGGTTTCAAGAAACCATTTGTGTTTAGTTAATCGCGGAAATGTCTATTAACGGTTTATTGGCTGATCTATTTTAATAGGATTCCAGTACAAGTGGTGGTTCGAGCACCGCCCCAAATGACACCAGCACTGTTGCTGTTGGCAGGGTAAGTC